CCAACAAAATGCAGGGCTGTGGCAGCACACATCAGGTGTTAGTCCCTGCACCGAGGCACTATTCCTGCACTGCTCACCACATCAGCACCCCGCCCTGCTGTGGGCACCCAGGGACAGCCTCCCCATCCCACAGTTCCACCGCCCCATAACCAGCTTTCATCTGCTTCTTCAGCCCTTACCTTGCAACAAGCAGAGTTCTCATCTCCTGGCCCAGAAAAACACTTAAGCAATTAAAATTAAGAGTTCAGAGCCTGCACTTTAATATTAAAGCATTGGATAGGATGCAGCAGTCGAGCAGGACAGGGGGGAGAGATTTTTCTGTCTGTCAATCAGATGCACAGCAGATCCTGACCACAGGTCCCACGTGATGGGCACCAGGAATTCACTGCATGGCCATCAAATATGAATTACTGATTTACATGGTGCTAAGGCTGAGAGCACACACAAGAGAGCCAGCAGCCACCTTGGGCCAGAACAGTTCCTCTACAGCTTGTTGGGCTGCAGCCTGGGAATGTGCTCTGTACAAGGTGGTTTGGTGGCTCCTTCATGAGCCTACAGCAGATTAAATATGAGAAAGATTTCTTGTTTCCATTGGGAAGCATCAAATACCGACACTGAGATGTGTCATTGGTAAAAGGACCGAGGCAGAGAGCCTCAACACCTCAATTTCCTACACAAGATGCATCCAATTTATCTATCCTACAGCCTACTGTTACTTCCACCTCTATGCATAAAGGAGAACAGCAGAGCCACAGAGCTAAAGCTCTCAGTTTTAGAGCTATGAAACACACATTGCACTTGCAAAATTCCTGTAGTTACCAGGCTTGGGACACCCACAGCCTGTAAAGCTTACACCCAAACCCAAACACAGCCCTACACACACCACCATCCCCAGGCATCCCACAGGCTGCTCAAGCCACACACAGCAAACCCCCATGAATATTTGCAGAAGAGGAGTCTGCAAATTTTCAATTTAATAAATTTTAAAAAATAAACAAAAGACCAAAAAAATAAAAACAAACAATCCACAGAAAAGAAAAAAGGCAAGGAATTCTCTCTGCCTTTTATGGGGAGGGACTGATCCAGGTTAAGAAAACTCTGACCACAGCACTGTCTGGGGAGCAGGCATTCCACTGAACTGGTTAGGCAAGGGGCTGCAGGAGGACGGCTCGCTCAGGGGCATGACAGGAAGGTATGTACAGGGGGAGGGGGATGAGCTGCTCCATCCCTGGGGACAGCACTCCAGCTCCTGCCAACAGGGCCCCCGGAGCCCTGGCCACACTGCTGGGATGGCAGAAGACTTACAGACTCGGCAAACCCCTCAAATAACACTTCTACCAGGATGCTCTTGCTGAAATCTTTGCCCAAAGCAGCTTTGTTTAGGTCCAGACCAGCATCTTAGTTCAGTGAGCAGTTTACAGGACTTTGGAGAAAAGGTAAAAAAAAGCAATTTTGCACCTAGTAGAGCAAGCTGACAGCACTCTGAGGGCTCCAGGACAATGCAGGGTTATTGCACTGCCACACACCCACTCCTACAGAGAGATCTCCAGCCCCATCCTCCCTGATGCCCCAGGGCATTTAAAACAGTCAGATACAAATATAAAATTGCTGTAACATCACCTGATTTCTAGCACTGCAGGACACAGGCTTTGCAATCAGTATTCCTTCTGAATGCAGAGAACTAGACATCATCCTACCACACCCCACAGCTGCTGGCTACATCTTTGATGAGAGTAGAGCCTGGGGACCACCTTCTTTGGGGCACTTAATGAATGGCAGGAGGCCCACAAGGACACACATGCAACTTACCTTCCTGGCCATCCAGAGCTCCCTCCCACACCAGGGCCATGACAGAAAGTAAGTGTCCTCCACACCCACAGGGACCACCAGCCCTTCACTCCAGTTATGCAAAAAAGGCAGATCTTGGCTGGGGCTTCCCAGTCTGCCTGTGGTTCACACCAGAGGAAAGGAAGGGCCACAGCTGACAGCCAGGACGGGCCACCCAGGACATTGTGAAAGAGCTGGTCACAAGGCACACGGCTGGGGAAGGCTGTTGACTGTCTCGTGTTATATCAGAAACCTCTTCCTGCCCCCTCCAAATCTCTTCATCCCAAGGTAGTGCAGATCCCCAGTTTCTCTTACCCCTTTCTTACACAGGCAAAGGAAGATTATTTCTTCCTCAAAACAAGTGTGTGAGAACTGCAAGGTCTCAGCAAGAGACAGCCCAGACGAGAGGGGTTTCTGTGTCACCCAACCTTCTTCCCCAGGTTTCTCCCCAAAGAGCTGCATTCTCAAGGCAGTGAACACAACTGATAGGTGTTCAGCAGGGCAGGATTTGTGCTCATTTTCCAGCCCACTTGTGGGACAATTTCTTCAGGCACTGCAGCTCTTTCCCCACTTCTAGTTCTGTTGTGAACAAGCACTTAGACCCCCAAAAGTCAAATAATAACAAAAAATTAAAAAAAAAAAAAAAAAAAAACAAGTTTCACCAACATAACCCTTAGGCTCAAGGATGGACATCTTTTAAGACTGCAAGTTTAATTTTTCAGCCATAAACTGCAAGAAAGTACAAAACTTATTTTAAAAGCTGATTGTAATTGCTTTAAAGTCCACACAAGGACAATTGCTTTAAATAAACTCTTTAAATAAACTCTTAATTGCTCTGCACCCATTTAAATCTCACATGGCGATGCATTTTGGAGAAAAACTGGCCTTGCTCTTTTCCTAAGACAAATGTAATACTATAATGCACTCTGCCTTGATCTCAGTGCTCATCTCCCAGGGCCCCTCTGTTTCTGCTGCATTCCTTTGTGTTTATCTGCCCTCTTCAACCCTTTGCTGCAATCAGCTGCGTGCAGCACCTCGTGTCTAGAAGTGACATGGCTGAGGTTACAGGAGAGACAGGTGCAAGGGAAGCTCGTGCCCCGAAGCCATCCAAAGGAAAAGAGAAGCTGGAGGGGAAGAGAGTTGTAAGGTATTTCAGATTAAAGCAAACACCTTGCCCCAGGCTACACATTCTCTGCCAATGAAAGCTGCAGCCGCTGCGAGCCCCAGAAACAGCAAAGCAAACACAGACTTCTCTGCAAGGGGAGTTGTCACCTGTCAGGGATGTTTGCAAATTTATAGGGAGGTGGTGGTGGTGGTAAGGGGAGTAAAAAGAGCTTTCCTCATTTTAAAAGACGGGCTGTTTGCACAGGTTTGAAATGCATATTTTGCTTTGTGAAGGCTTTTGTCCAGCATTCAACTGAGAGAAGGTGCTGTCTTCCACTGAAGACAAACTGGAACATTTATTAATGTACATACATTAATGTACTCTGAGCTGTTGCCTTTACAGTAAGGGTGAGGATGGGATGGAATTTCCCTGCTCCCCCTTCAGCTTGTCACATCAGTGACAAACACTTCTTAAAAAGAAGTCACCCTGCAGCCTGGCCTCTCCAAAAATGCCTCCTGCAAGGCTGGGCTCAAACCCTTCATCAGCAAGAAGTAACTGCACAGAGAAAGCTTCTTGTCCCAGGCACCAGTGTTCACCGCAGCAGTGCTCAGAGAGAACAAGGGGAAGGGACTTTCCTTTCATGTTTTGCTGCACCACTGGCAGGAGAGGGAGACCCTGAACAGTGAGCCCAACAGCCACTGCAGTGCTCTGCAGACAGCTTGGAGGAAAAGGAAACAGGGAGTTGAGCTTGTGCTCAATGCCACAAATCCAGATGTGAGCATGGAAGGACAAAAGTTACTGTTAATGGCCTTTAAACTGTTGGGGATTGTTTTTTAGGAGGACATAGCTCAAACAGACCATTGTAGTCCACTTTGAAAATCAGAATCCCCTGTAAACATGGAGAGTCTTTTAGACTATTGAAGAGACACCATTTCATTGGAGCTGTGCTATAATGGTGGAAAAAAACCAACATCTAGATGCTGATGGAAGGTTTGCACCCCACCCCTCATGCCCCACAAAATGCTGAGTCAAAAGATAACCAGACATGATGTAAGCCACCTCTCCTTGTACACTTGGATTAGTTCACCACATTAGCCAGGCACATACCCAACCTCAAACTGGCTTTTTAACCTTCATGGAAAGGTAAGAGCACTGCAGCCTCCCCAGCAGTCACACCAGTGCAGCACTGACAGGTCAAACCTCCTGTCACTAGGGACTGCAGCCAGAACGACCCAGGAGCTCCTTCCTTGCAGACACAATCCTCCAGGTCACAAACACTACCAGGATACAGACTGCCAACACACCATCACATCAAAAATTGTGGTTGATTATCCAGGGAATTAAATGACAGTAGTTTGTCAGGATGGAAACAGTGCAAGAAAATTTACACATACCAACACAAATTTCAAACTATATTTTATTTTTACTCCAAAGTATTCAAGACCCAGGAAGAACAGAAACAGGACACGAACAACTCAAACTCCTGAAATATCTCCTGGTACTGCCTACAAGAAAAGCACCTGGCTTCTTCCAAAGAGCTATTGCTAAGAAAGAACCAGTCTGTTAGTGCCAAAGGCAATGAACCAGCAACCACCAGTGCCTCATCTGCATTCCAGTCTTGAGCCATATCCCTGAGATACCTACGGCCAAGACTCATTACAAACACTCTCTAGTCTGAAGAAACATGAGGCGAACAGAACCCAACCACAGTCTGAAAATGAGTTTTCATTCATATATGACCCTCAACAGAAGAAAAAACAGTGAAGAACCTCTGGCCTTGGTCAGCAAAATTGCAGCTGTGCCCAGAATCCAAATTATTTGAACCCTGAGGTCAAACTAGCTCTAAGCAGGGAGAGTGCAGGGATGGTTGAGTAGCCTGTGCAAGAGGTGCCTCAGCTCTCCTGCCAGTTTAGCTGCCTCATCCCTCTCTCCTGCCATTGCTGGTGCAGAAGAGCAGGTGAGGAGCCAGCCAAGGTGGGAAGACAGCCCTGGGGCAATGCAGCTGGAATAGCTCCTGCAAAAACTCCCCTTTTGCCCCCAAAGGTTAAGGAAGTTTCTCATTACTCACCCACATTGGGTCATTGAGCTCGGTGTCCTGCACCCGGACACAATCCATGCTGATCTCGATTTTGTTTGTGGAGCCATCTTCAGATGGGCCATCGATGAAGTTTAAATCAATTGGCTGAACCGAGCATATTGGCCTGCAAAGAACACAGTAATGAAGTTAAAACTGACCAAGTTCTGTTTTCCACCACCTCACCTTCCTTCTCTTTCCCTTTGCCCAGGACTTTGGCATTACCACAAGCCATGATAAAGTAAGCAATTACTGAGGAATAACTAGATCCTCACCATTGAGCTACAGCAGCCCCTGAACAGACAGGGCCCAGAAGGACATGTCACTTGCTCTGAGGCAAGAGCAGAGTCAAATCACTGAGAGACAAAACTCATGGAAGATTTATAGCAGTGATTGTTTCAGCATCAGTCATGGCAAGTCAGGAATGGGAACAGAGTCAGTTTTCTTTCAATCAAGGGACTTGACAGGGTGAACTCTGCACCATCTTCACCTCTTCTCCACCCTGGCATCAGCAAGGGGAAAATACAGCCTGGACACAGAGTGATGAGCCCATGTCCTGAGGGGAAATGCCAGCCAGGAGCCTTAGGAAGCAGCCAGCACAGCCACCAGAGGCCTGGCAGAGAGTCAGTGTCACTGCTGCCCACTGCACCTGGAACCCACAGCCTGGGTGTGGGACCTCTGGAGAGATGAAGAGCTGTCAGTCACCACAGACTGACTCATCAATACCTGATCAACAAGGACAGAAGATCCCAAACTCCCCAGCATCAATCCCCTGAGCAGCCTAGTTATAGAAGCATCCCCTCCTAAAACACCTTCCATATGTTCCATGCAAGGGCTACTTACTGTTCCAGGAAGTCCCAGATATGCTGGATTACTTCTGGGCTGAGGAATTCCCTGGGCTGAGAGCTCTGGGACATGGCTGAGCGGTAATAACTCTCCTTCCAGGAGAAGGGGCTCGGAGTTTCTACAAACCTTAAAAAACAAAAGCAAAAAAACCCAACAAACAAACAAAACAAACAAGCCAACAACAAAAAAGAAAAACACACAAAGACACGTTGAATGCATGAATCCAGCTCGATGAAAACCCATAAATAGAAGCTATTTTGTGAAAAAGGAGACACGCTGAATGCCTGAGACATTCACAGCTGTACAACACACATTCCACACTGCTGCAGATGCTGCATTTAGATGGGAGAGAATTTGGCCTCCCTTCCCAGTAAGTTAAATACCCCTCAGAGTCCATTGGGATGCTGTGTAAGAATCCCAGAGTGGGGGGAAAAAACCTAAACAAACCACTTTCCATTTCCTCCCAAATCATCAATGTCCATGTGAACCAGATAGCCTTTGCAGTAGGTGAAGCAGCTAAGCAATGTGGGATTCCAGTGTCCCAGGCTGTCTGCCTGTCAAAATGGCATGCTCTTGAATGATTTAGGTGACTTCTACACCCAGCCACTGCAGCTGAGGTCTTGGACTAAATATTGGGTTGTGCTTTTGTTTGTTTTGGGTTTTTTGGTTTTGTTTTAAACTTGAATAATAATAAATATTTTTGTCTATGGAAATAAGTTAAATCACATCAGATTTCATCTGCTTGTCTAGTGCCCTCTCACCTCCACCAATTTCTGAGCCAGATCAACTGATTTCCACCAGATCTGTTAATTACCTCGGCCATTTTTATCCCCTTAAGCTCCCACAAGCCTCACAGAAATAGGTGGGCCCAAGAGGAGCAGTGACAGAGCTGGAGCACTCATGCCTTCCACAGCTGCACATTCTCATCCCACTGGCCAATTTCTAAATTCAAACACAGCAGCTTTTACACTCATGTCAAAATACTTGACGGCTGTAGGGAGGTAAAGGGGGTGAGAGGAATTTCTCCAGTATATTTACAGTTGACAAAAACTCAGTTCAACTTCAGAGTATGAGGCAGGTAACCAACTTTCCTGCTACGGGGTTGGGGCTGTCCTGCAAAATTCCCCTATGGGAGTTATTTCAGCACAATGAAAGTGAACAACCACATCCTCTGCCAGGGGAACGGCTGTGGCAGGAGCCAAGGTTATAACTGGATTCCAAGAGAACTGAACTAGTATTTGGTTTGGCACATATTGGTCCTGGTTAACACAATGGTCTAAACAAATTGCATGGAAGACCCCAATTTTTTAAGCTGCCAAAATTAAGAAACAGTGCTTCAGAGGAAGGATCACATTATTGTGCTTTTACTCCACTTTTCCTGAAGTATTTACTTCTGGCTGCTGCAAGAGAGGTATCTGACTCTCTTTACTGAATTTTTACAGCATCTTTCATTTTGAGGATGACTCTAGTCTACAAAAAGCTGGGCTTTCCTCACCTCTGCTGCCCACAGAACTGCATGCTCTTAGAAAAGAGCAGACTTAATCTAAGCTAAAGGAAATCAAAGTGGCTTAAAAGCCCCCAGAGCCAGTGCTGGGCATGCCTCGAAATAGGTGAAAGCATCACTTAAGCTCCTCATCCTTTTTGTGATTAGGAAAAAAAATCTCCAGCATAATTTAAAAGTTCATGAACAGCCAGAAACAAAAATGAAATGTAGAGTGAATGGGTAATAGCTCTGCCTCACAGATGAGAGCACATGCCCATACCGTGTGTGAAAAATCACAAATCCTCTGAGAACAGCAGTTATCCCACAAAGTACCCGAAATTACTCCTTTCAGGCTTTCAGTCAGGTAAGACACTTTCACAAATGCCATATTGAAACCCAGAAGAACAGAGCTGGCCTAAAGCCTGTCATATAAACTGCAGGTCAACATCACCACAAGCCTTGGAGGAACACAGTGGGAAGCTCTGCAACCTCCTCTGCTGCTGAACCCAGACAGACCACAGGCATTGCTCAATACCCTGCACCCAGTCCTGGCCACCACAAATGGGCAGAGAGCCCACAACAGGTTCTCTCAAGCCATAAAGTGCTCATTTTTAACAATTATTTGTACTTATCACAACTGCTCTCTATCTGTACACTAAAAACCACTTTCCATTACTACACAGACAGGAACTAACGTCAATGAAAAAAAAAACAGTTATAACAAACTAAACCTTTCTCAGAGACCTTTCCTTCAAAAGGTCTCAGTTCAACAGGGTTCCTGCATGCCATGGCATGCCCCACTTTTGGTTCACTGCTGGACAAAGTTCTCAGTCATAAAAACACCAAGTGTCCCAGTTCCCCCTGCCTGCTCTGGTCCTGTTCAGCTGCAATTCCACAAACCTGCCCCAACCAGGCAGTGCAGGAGATATCAGCTGCACAGACTGATAAAGCCAGGTTTGTACTCTACACCTCTGCAGCTAACAGAGCTGTTGGAAAGCATTGCACCAGTCAAGGACACAGCTGGTGCATCCCTCACTAAACACAACTCTGAAATTCTCCAGAAACTTTCATGTTCCAGCTGCATCATCCTTATCCCTGTAGCCAGACAAGCTCCTAGCTTACTGATTCTAAGAAAAGCATTACCCCAGGTTTTATTTGATGGCCAAAAAGGCACATTTCCCTATGCCAAGCACAAGGAGTCTCCTGGTTAATGTTTTCACAGACTCCTTGAACACTCTCTGCAACACCTTTACTCTCTGTCCTGCTCTATTTCCAAAGGAGGCAACAAAATTAGGCAGTCCACAGCATTACAGTAACTGCTTTTTACTCAGTTTGGTGCACCCTGTTCTCAGGTGGGAAAGAGCTGTCAGAAGGCAAGAAAACCAACTTCAGCCCAGCACAAAGCTGCATGCAAGATAAACTGTCTCCTTCCCTGTGGTCTCAATAGAATCTAAACTTAATGCTATTTTCCTTAACTAACAGCCTTCAACATAGAGAAGCCTCTGTCTACCAAACACATACTTAAGTGTCTGAATTTCTACTGGAAAATAATAGCTAAAGTCTAAGCAAAATCTGTACATAAATTTCACTGCTTTAGTTAATTGTCTTTTCTCACATCAGCAAATGCTCAACTTTCAGTAAAATAATCTCTCAGAGCCTAAAGTTAATCACAAGGTTGCATTGCTTAAATTGCTTCTATGAACCAAATGCTTTTTTTATTAACAGACACTTAAATAACATTCCTTTTAGCTACATCTGCTCATCCCAAAGGCCATTGCAGGAAATGGCACTACTGAACACAGCCTGTTACACCAAAATACTGACTAGAACAGAACAAGGCATGGCAGTGAATCTTGTTCTTAAAGTCTACAAGGTAAGTCCCTGCACCAACTGCTGAACTATGTGACAAGATGGTTTTCAAAAAGAGAGAGCACTAACTGCACCAGGAACTACAGGGGGATTTACAGCCCCCATCAAACAGCAAGCTAAACAGGACATTGCATCCACCAGCCCCTCCTTTAAAAACCACCACGGGATTATTAATAGCAAGTTTAAGTCTCCTCACAGAAGCAGCACCTCACCGAGAGCAGTGTTCCTGTGTGCAGTGCTGGGACACTGCTCCTGAGCCAGTGAATCCCAGGACAGGTTTCAGGCAGCCGCGCCCTCCCACTGAGGTTCTATTTATCTGGCTGAAACAAGAGCAGCCCAGAGTGCAGGTGGAAGCATTTCTCCCAATTCCCTAGGTGGGGGGGAGCCCCAGGCACACTGATTGCTGTGCTGCCTCCTGAGCTCTCCCAGCAGAGCTGTGTTACAGCCCCTGAGTGGGGATGTGTCCCAGCTGATCCCCTTTGCCATCGCACTCGGCAGTGACAGCACCGTGCGTGCCCTGCAGCTGTGCCCACTCCATTCCAGAGCCTTCCGGAAGGCTGGGAATGTGAAACTTTACCAAAAAAAGACCCAAATCGAAACCAACAAAACACCAACCAACCAAACCAAAGAGCAGCTCACCCTTCCAAAAACCACCGAGCAAAGCACAGCATTTGCCTCTCACAAGCTGTGGGCACGCTGCTGTTGCCTTTCCCTGGAGCGGCGGGTCCCATCCCAGGAGGAAATGAAGCCCTGACCGCTTGGCCCAGCGTGACACAAAAGTGGTGGCCAAGTGGAGAGAAAACAAGAGCATTTCTGCTCCCTCTAAGCACATCCTTCCATTCTTCACCACGTTACCCCCTTTCCCTACCTTCTTATCAAAGAGATTAAGGATAAAGCAAACAAACCCCTCTCCACCCCAGGAAACAATGACAGCACGCTATCAAACTCAACTACTGCCACACAGCAACACTTCTCACCCAGAACACCACCTCTGGCTGCAAACAATCTTTCTTAGAAAGGGCTTAAAAGCAAAACACGCGGGTTTGACTTACCCGTGGGGAAGGGACACGAGGAGGTGCGGAGGAGGGCAGGAGCCAGGCGGGACGCTGCCATGCGGAGCCCAGCCCCTCCTGTGCCGACCTGGACCTTAAAGGCTGGTGGCACCTGCTGGCACTGCTGCAGGGTCACATCTGACACAGGGCACAGCCCCAGCACCGCTGCCGCATGTGCGAGTCCAGCAGCCTCCTTCCAAAAATAAAGACTGTCGCAACCAAGAGGTGGCTGGTTTCTTTTGTTTTTTTTCATCCAAAACGGGCTTGGTGCTTCAACACTCTGAACTACTCCCGGGTTAATAGCATGGCTTATGAAGAAACCAGAAATGAATAAGGTATTTCGGTGAAGCTGCTGTGTTGGGTTTCAAGAGGTCCAAGCGCCTCAATTTCTTCATAACTTCCCTCAAAAAGTGGAGCTCTGGTTTGGTTTGTGTTTCTCCTGCACGTTCCCAGAAATTTTCTGTATGGCTTATGGGTGCAGAACTTTGTGGCTTGGTGTAAAGCTGCACTGTAAAATTTTGTAACATAAAATCTTTCACAGCAGGGAATAATTTTTCACAGCAAAATTATTCCGAGCCTTCTGCTTGCTGCCAAAACTACAGGGTGTTGCTTTCTGCTTCTCCCCATGAGGTGTGTATCAATGGTGTACAATTTTCCATCACTGAGCCTGTAGTTCTCAGTCAGTGGACATGCAGATGGGGCCAGAGAAGTCTTTCTCTGTA